GCAATATTCGTTCAGCTGAAAATATCGCTGCTGTTGCTCAAATTGTGGAGGAAGACCCGAATTCGTGGATTCTCCGACATGCTCAACATTTGGGCTTGTCTTACGGCTCATTGTGGACAATTTTGCAATTGGGTTTGAAGCTCCATTCGTACAAAGTACAACTGACTGAAGAACTTAAGCCTCAAGAGCATGGGCAACGCAGATCATACGCAAATTGGGTGATTGAACTGTTGCCGTTGATGATGATTTGTCGAACCGAATTTTCTTCAGTGATGAGGCTCACTTTTTGCTCGGTGGTTACGTGAATAAACAGAACAGCCATATATGTAGCTCTCAAAATCCTCAGGTGATCGCAGAAAGGCATTTGCATCCCGAAAAAGTGACTGTATTACGAAAAAGTGACTGTATTTGTGGTGTGCATTATGGTCCGGTGGTGTTATTGGCCCGTTTTTTTTTTTAAACGATCAAGAAAGAGAGATAACAGTCAATTTGAAGCGCTATGGACGCATGTTAACCGAATATTTTTGGAGAGAAATTGAAGATTATGATCTGGAAGAGATGTGGTTCCAGCAGGATGGGGCAACGAGTCACGCAACACAGTTAAAGCCCTATTGCAAGATAAATTTCCAGGACGCGTAAATTCAAGATTGAGTGATGTCTATTGACCCGCAAGACTCTGCGATTTAACACCGTTAGATTTCTTTTTGTGGAGCTATGCGAAAGATCGTGTTCACACCAACAATCCTAAAACTCTTGAGCAACTGAAAGCCAATATCCGTGAAATTATGACCTAGATATAACCGGTAATGTGCCGAAAAGTCGTTCAAAACTAGCTCAAAAGGATTGAGGCCTGTAAAAGGTCCCGTGGAGGACATTCAAATGATATTGTTTTTCACGTATAATGGCAAGGTTTAATCTTTATATTAAACTTTATTTAAAAAATTAAAAATTTTTTTGTCTCCATCTGAATATTTTGTGCGTTTTTTTTTTACTTTACTTTCCCCAGCATAAGATGGATAACCCTGTTTTAAGAAAGAACATACTGTGTACAAGAAGTTCACATTCAGATCACAAATATAATACATTTGAAAACTTTATTCGTTTGCCGAATAACAAAAATATTAAATAAGTATTATATTACGATTTGATTTATTTTTATTATAACAATTAGCATTACGGTTGCCCAGAACATCAGTTTCAGATATATTTACGCAATCCTCAGGGTTTTAAGAGAGTAATGATTGTAAAACAAGTCATTCAGTTAATCATTCATTAATATCAAACAAAGACAAGCCACCACATAACTAGAATCAAATATAATTGATGAAGAACAGAATCCATGTTCTTTAACGCTAAATTTAAAAATCTAATTAACAAAAAAAACATGGTATCCTAGACATGATCGGTCAGTCACCATAAATTTGTTTTGTTTTTTGTCATCAACAATATAGCATCTTCTTCTTTTAGCCGTTTTCAGGGTCCAGAATTGAACATATGTCTCTCTTAGTTCTCTCCATATATATCCTTGCTGATCTCTAGCAATTCCTTCTTATTTCTGGTTTCCTGCTGCTTCGAGTCTTTTGAGGCCATTAATTATTTCCTACCGTTCTTCCTCCGTAGGAATCTCACGTTTTTAATATTTTCTATTGCATTTTCTACTTCCATTATATAGTTTCCTTTCAAAGCCAATAGCAAATGAATATAGTTGTCTTTGTCTAGTGCTTTCCCGATGTCCTCATACGGAATCCATGGCGTGTTATTGTTTCTGTTGCTTCTGGAGACTTTTATGTATTAATTAGTTTCCTATTTTGAATATTAGTATACTCATTATTGTGCAGTTAAAATATTTAGGTTGAGTTTAACATTTATAATTAGCAACTTTACTAATTAATTGATAACTTTCGCCAGCCACGTTTTAAATGTTAAAGCATAAACTATATACTTATTGGGGTCTGACATGGGTTTGGACATATGTCTGATGTGGTTAATGGGAAAACGTTTTCCAACTTGACACGACTTTAATAACGCCGACCGGACACATGCTTGCATTAATTTGTTTTTGGCCGGAATGTACAAAAGTTTGCAATAAATTTGAAAACGAAGTCTTTCACTAAAATATAAATAAACTGTCGTCTTGGACATGAATTTAAATTGAAAATGTAGTTCTTGACAATCTTGTGAACATTGGCGGAACTATTCAGCATTCGAGTAAAAATATGCAGCCCAAAGCAAATTAATTACAACCGTAGCCAAGAGGATATTTACTGAAATAAATTCAACTTAAATGGATTTCAGAAGCAATGCGTATTTTCTCAGGGAAAGGATCTTAAATATTCGGTAGGTTTACTTTCACTTGAATAAATTRAGCAAAGTTATACTTAGCCATATTTACATTGGGTTCTGATTATTTCTTTGGATACAGAAAAACTTGGAYCATGTTTACTTTAATTCTTTAACATGGAAATTTAGCCAAACAGCTTKACTTTTCGTAAAACTTTCTTAAATTTCTAATTATATGAAGTAGTAACCATACAAAATTCGTTTCTTTTAATCAGTTTTCAAAATACTTTAACATTGCCAATTGTCCTCGGTTCAGATGGGCTCCAGAGATACTATCACTATGGCTTTGAGMGTCATTAACTATTAAAAATTAAAATATAGCYACCTAGATGRTCATACAAAGTGCACGAAATAACAAATCGTTTTGAAYATTTTTCGTCAAGAYCTTTTGTAACATTTTAATTCGAACAATTTTCCCACCATTTAATTAAACTAAACTTAACTTAACTCCTTGAATCTTTTTCACCTCTGATGTTTCATCAGCMAAGAGAGCAGGGCATATTACATCCACTTTCGATTTKTTGTAAATATTTTAAATTAGCGATCGATGAAAATKTGCAAAAAGTTAGTTGCTMACTCTAAATATTAATACKTGAGCTCGCACTTGAGCTATATAGATTATRTCTTAATAATAWTTATTAAGGCAATRTTTCTGAATATTGTAGGTGATAATATTGCMGTTAGTTAATATTAAAAAYTAAAGTTTTATTAAGGGTTAAAGAGCTTATTGGAACAACAGTATATTATACGATTTTGGTATACAAATAATCCTATTCGCTCTAATTAATGGCGATCCGAGAATCCCAATTTTATAGCGCAAATACTTCGCTCGACTAAAAGCCGTTTCATGATTCATAAGTTTCATTTCAAGCCGATAAAATTTATTTGCTGGTAAAGCGAAAACCGCCATTTTGAACATAGTTTTTAGAGGTACGACAGTGCCATTGTTCGGTAGTAATTGATTTGATTTAAGACCATGTACGATAAAATACGGGATTTTATATTCGTTGGAACAATTTCAACTTTATGGAATAAAAGAAGATTTGTTTCAACTTGGTGAAAAGAATGAACAAATTTTATCTTTGGAAATAAGATATATTATCTTCATTATTAGATTCATTGCACACTTGGCACCTGTGATTATTAGTTATAATATAATAGTTATAACCTCCCCAAATGTTAACGTTTATTTTGGATTGCTTATAGTTGCATCATTTCTAGTTAAAATTTTGTACTCACACTAGGACTAAGTGCAAGTCTTTTAATTTTTGCTTTAATGCAATAAAATAATTGTTATTTTAAATATTAATTTTTGCTATAAAGTAAAGCATTCTTTAAAACTCTGTATGTTAAAATTCTAATATATGAAATAAAATAACGTGATTGTCACGTTATTTGATATTAGTGTGCCGGACAGGTGCACTGATGCTTCCAAATCGTAACAACTAGTTTGAGAGTGACTAAAATATTTAAGGTCCATCTTTATAACGTTCAACTACTTTTAAAATTTAAGGATCGAAATATGGTATTTTAGTAAAAAACACGATTTTTCAGTTTGACTTTGACAAATGAAACAACTATGAAATTAAGGAAACATGTATTTTTCATCAACACCTAATGAGTTTTATTAAATTTAACTAGATGTTGGTGCTAATTCTCCTGTATGACATGGAATCTAGAGCGACACTCCACAACAGGCAGAAAATATTAATTTTTTGCTACTCATTGACTACAAATTTACCAAACCTGGTAGTTCCAAATGGCATCTGTAATCATTATTCGTTTAAGCAGAGACAGACAGTACAGTACAGTATATTTAGGAACAAAACATTCAGACCCAAAAGCTTTTACGATAAGACAGAAAAATCCATACTTATCCAAGCCTTTTTAAATTCAGGAAAGAGAACAATTTAAATATATATCCGCTTCATGCATCCTTGGATTTCATGAAAGTCTTAAAAGGATTTTTATAAAACACATCCATGCTAGCGCATAAAGTTTCAGAGGCCGCCTTCACCGTGTCACAGTTTAAACTGCATTTTTACAAAGAACCTCTTTCAGAAGAAGACAAAAAAACTTGCCGAGCACTTCAAAATAATGATATCAGACAAATGCAATTTAAGGGAAAATAATTTATTTGCCTGTGTCTGATTCTGAGAGAGATTTTTTGCTTTTTATAGTTTCAAATGAGGTTCCTGAGTAATGATATAGCAAATAATTTGTCACAAAGATAAAAAAAATAAATCAAGACTACAAACATTTGTTTTAAAAGTCGACCGTAGACAGAATAGGCCTCAGAACAGTCCTAGATTTGTTTTCAGCAACATAAACACTCAAAAAGTAGTGTTCGTTTTGTAAAATGTGCCAAATTTCATACAGGAAAAGTTTTGGAAACAAGGAATTGTTTTGGTAAATTAATTATCAATCATCAATCAAACTATTGCGGATGGTTAAAAATATGATATGGTTGAAAATACCAACGCTTGATAGCTTTGGTATTTCAAGATATTATATAAGTCAAGATATTCTGATATAAAGAAATTAGTCCATCAACTTCTTAGTAGAAACACAAAAAAGCATAAGCAGCTAATATAAATGATTAAATATATAACATATGCGAAGGTAGAAAATTTCAATTAAACGCCCTGGTTTTATTTCAGATTCCATGCAAACGCTTTGCAAAAATCATTTTCTCCAGCAACTTTACCGGAAAATTGACGGTGCTGTATTATGGAGCCAGAATGAAAGAAATCTGGATTGCGTCATCACATTCCAGACACATTCAATTTTGCAGAGATTTATGCTCCGATTTGATGGATTGCAACTGGACTGCAATGACCATCTGTTTATTTATGATGGGGCGCATGCTGTGGGAACTTATAAGGTGAGATTTGAAGGAAAAATAAATTGTCACTATACAGCTTAAGATATTTGATTAACTATTTCATCCAAGTTAAAATTCTTACGTTAACGTTATCTTTGTAGTCATCAAAAGTAAAGGTAAAAACTACTAAGAGAATTAACTTTTTGCAGGACATTAATGGTTTGGCATAACTAAAATATGTAGTCAATGCAGAATGGATATTTTTGTATATTTATTGTGCGATTATTGGTGGTTTTCCATGTTGCTTCTTGATTTATGTGCTTACTCAGTAAACATCCCGACATGGTAATACTATTTAATAGTTTTTACCAGGAGCTTGAATATGTAAACTAAAATTCAAAATAGAGTAATAATGTAAGTACAATAATGAGTCTCCTGTTTGTTGAATGACTGCTCGCTCATAAATGCATTTTTATTAATAAATACAAATTTTTTACATGGTTCATCATTTATAACGAGAACGCTGTTGGTTTTCAATAATCAAGTGTTTCAACTGATTCAAATTGATTATTCAAAGAGTTTTCATTCTAGTTAGAATGGTGTACAGCAGGAGCCCTTACAGGATATTCATTGCAAACAGCAGATTTAAATCACAATGGCAAATATCTAGTCTTCGAGTTAAACAATGTATACATCCAGAGCAATTTGCCATAACAAATGTTGTACTGGTTTGTTAGTATTATTCATGACAAATTATCTCTTCATGGGCCTATTTTTATTATACGAATCGTTCGGTAATTGCCAGTGTGATTTTGGAAATAGCTGCTGGTAAAGTATTTGTGGATGTGCGCCCAGATCACCTGCGTATGTCCTTCAGCCATGAGTTCTGGCGTTTTCCGACGGATCTTTTTCCTTGAATCTTCCCTTCGATGATGAGTTTCAGGATTTCGTATCGGCCCTCATAATATGTTCAAGATACGGTTTTTCCTTTTATTTATCGTTTGTAGCAGTTCATTTCAGGAACTTTTGAGGCGTTCATACCTCTATATTGGTTCTCTGTGTCCAAAAAGAGCGTCCGTCGATAGAGATACATCTCAAAAGCGTCGATTCACTTCTCTGTTACTGGATCAGAGATCCTATACAGCAGTGAGAGTACAGAGTACAGAGTACAGAGAACACATAGCAATGGAGCACGCGTGTCCTGAACTCCTAGCTCAATTCCAATCTAGTCAAGAGCTTCTTCATACTAGCTTCTTCATAGAAGACCTTCCTCGCTTGTTCTATTTTGGATCTGATTTCACTTTTAGGGTCACAGTCCTGATCTATCGAGGTGCCCAGGTATTCAAATGAGGAGATCTGCTCTACGGCTTTGCCGTTTAAGGTCAAGGTTATATTTCTATGTGTTTTGGAAAAGACTATGGTCTTGGTTTTGGATATGTTCATGAAAATACCATTTTATGGATTATTCTCTGTAATTCACTTGGACTGCTGGCTGGATGACGGTGTCATCTGCGTACCTTAAGTTATTTATCACTTTACCAGTATTTGTTTTGGTTTTGCTTCTTGTGTGTTGCCTCTTTCATCCATCAAGGATAGTATTTCCTGCGTCATCCACCTTTGCTTTTTATTGCTTTCTACGAACCCTATTTGCTGCTCTTGGATATTGTTAATTGTTCTCTCTGTTACGCTCCAGGTTGCCTCCGTCTCTTCTATCTTGATGTGATTCATTTCTCTTCCTAGTGAGCTTCCTACTTGCTCTTTAATATTAGGACCTCCATAATATGAGTTTTTTTTTCAATTTGTTTCCCATTCTATTTTTAAACCGCACATTTGAATATTATTTTCTATGAGCCGTGTTATGTGATTATTTCAAAATTGCAAATTTGGCGTTCAAGCTCTTAAGAAAGACAGATTGACGAATTTTGATGCAATGACTAGAAGGTAATTATTTGTGTATAAAGTTGATGGAACTCGAGAAAACATCAGGATTACGACTCAGTGTACGGGAATTGGCAATCATTTAGAATTTCATTGCCAGATTATTTTTACCTTGTGGTGCTTCCAAAGAGAGTTAGGTTTTAATAATTAATAATTGTTGAGCATGATGATGAAGCATTTGCTACTTTTCTCCAAAAGCATTTCACAACAACTCATTTCAAATAATACCAAATTACCCAACCAGTCAGGTAAAACATGTTCTATGGGTGCTTCATAAATATGGTGAAGAACCAACAATAATAACCTAATAAATATCGAAACAGAATAAATGTATTTAATTTGTTTAGATTATTTTTTATTACAGCGCATTTATCATCCGATTATAGAACAATAAGCTCGACAAAAGTTATAAAGTAGTTTTTTTAATAAAATAAAATTAGATTTATTAATCCCTCTTTAAACGATGTCAGTTCGCTAAATTCTGGTGCAAGACGTTCTACGTATAAAAATGACAAAAGAGAGGCCGTTATTGGAAACGTTACAAAAGGGCAGTCAACTATAGAATTACTTCCTGAATAATTAATCAATTTATCAGTCACATTATAAAAGCAATGTTTTCACATTTTCAGTTTGAATAGAAGCTTCCAATGAATTTATGTTTTAATATAATTTGTCGTTTTGGCCTGCGATATTTAATAATATTATAATGTTTTTGGCCAATTTTATTCTTTATAAATTAGCTAATATTCTTTATAACTTTAATTATTGAACATAGGCTCGCTCTGTATAACGTGCAACGTCAAACGTTAGGACAACTGTTACCGGTTAATCCAAATTTTAGGACGAATTGAATTTAAAAAATCGAAACGCTATTTATGGATTTGATAGTAATTTATTACTCAACTTTTAAGTCAAAACTGTCCACTTCACAATTTAACTTGCAAAATTTTGTATTTTTATTACTATATAATCAATAGTACAATCATAGAATCAGATAGAAATGCGCTCAGCAAACTTGGAAATTCATTCAAACATTTTTTATTGTAAACGAAAAGTGTTACTTTGACGGCCTGGGACAACCGAAATCAGTCAAGGAAAGTTATGGTCTCGGAAAAACTATTCTCACTGCATTGCTTTGCAAAATTTTTATCTGTATCTACCATTGCTTAGGTTTACTTTAGCTTCGGTTCGGTCATAGTTTGAAAGTTGCTCTCAGACCTCTTATTACTATATTTTTATACACTTATATTTACTTGTTTGTCTAGATTTTTACGGCATCTCAAGTTTCGTAAAACGTTATTTTATTGGAGATTCCAGATTCGAGATACACTTCCTAAAACAACAGCGCTTGAAGAAACCTTGGCCTCTTCCGACTGAATGCTGCGGACGTTTCGGAAAAATTTCGAACAGTTGAAACTATTATACGCAGACAACAATTGCATTTCTCAGATTAAAACTGAGCCCAAATTTTTTTTCAAATACCTACCTTCCTTTCGATTTTATAAAATGCAACTTGAGATGAACTTTCGCGGATGGTTCGTCCGTAAGTCTATTTGTGATAATTTTAGTTAATAACTTGTACGGATTCGGTAATACGCTTCTCGGGTGGTAGTTTTCTTTATTGAGTTTGTCACCCTTTCTTATCCGGGTCCGATATTTCCCCTGTTCGGGATGTTTTCTGCATTAATATTGCCCAGCCTTGCATTTAAGTCACCAATAATTATCCAAAAATGTGTATTTTCGTTTTTTAGAGCCAGTGTGTTATTCTCATATAACTGTTCTATTTCACTTTCTGGTGGAATGCTTATGGGGTATACGTCTGGATGCTTTGTAGCTTATGAAAATCGCTCTGATATTTTGAGAACCACATAAATGGTAAATTTTATAATTTTGTTCCCTATTTTCTTATTTACTGCTACTTTTTTTAATACTTGTAAACAACGTTAAAAGTTCATTTTCAGCTGTTAATATCTTCTAGAAATTTTCGGAAACATTTGTTTCAATATTTTTCTCTTACTCTCCATCACCCTGCATAGTAGATTTACAGCATGAACTCCACGGTATAATCCACATTAATCACCAAATATGTACTAATATTATAGTTATTAACGAAATAAAGTTTTATACCCTTCCACCGTCCTCATCATGCTACCAGGAATATATAAACTTTACATACGCTGCTCATGCATGAATAATTGGCGGGTAATGGTAACAACTATGGGCAATTTAATATTAACTGCTTAATTTTAGCCATAGCCGGAGTCCTGATAAGGCCAAGCATTAAATATGATAGATTACGCAGAACTACTAGTAAATGTAATAAAATATAGCAATATTTCATCAACTTCGTAGTTAACGAGTTGATAACGAACTAAATGTACATTGCATAAATAACAACTTTACTTCTACCCGCCTAATTTATGTAGTTTGGTTCAAACCACTCAATAAAATTGAGTTCAGTTGAAAATTGCTCACGTTATTGTCTATTTATTAATTATTTAATTTAACGAGTAAGGGTTAATATTTATTCTGGGTCTGCCATCCAATATAAAAAATACTTTTCCTGAAAATTGTGGGGTTAAACGACAGGCGCAAAAGCACAATTTTGAACAGAAATTAGAAACATTATCAACGAAGTTAAGAATTGTTAAAACATTTTCGCTCAGTTTCGCGTCAAAATGGTATAGTTAAGTTCAAAATATAGCAGGTGTGGGACAATAATAACAATGGTTTATAATTCAACAGACGTTTTGATCTTTATTGAGGTCTTCTTAAGGGATAATAGAAGAAAAACAGCGGTCACACAATTTAAGGAGGGAACAGAATTGACAGTTAGCTTAACTATAAAATTAATTATTAAAAAACAAAAATATATAAATATGCATAGAAACATCTACCTCAAATTATGTGACAACTTTATATCTTTAAATATTAATTGAAGCGAATGCATCCTCAACAGGTTTTAGTTCAAAGTTTGCCATTTTGGAATATGGATCGTTTAACTGTCGAAGAACGCGTAATAATTATTAAATGTTACTATAAAAATGGTGATTCTGGTGTATCAAAGTTTAGGGCTTTACGAGCAGATTACGGTCGACATAATCGACCCACAGAGCAAACAATCTAAAAGAACGTTGATTTTTACCAACCATGATTTTGTGTAAATTTTAAATCTGATGATGACGCTGTTGTCTCGCCGAAACCTAATGAAATAAACGATGTACAAAATTTTTACTTCACACTTTGACTGAGACCCAGGAAAGATAAGAATATCATAGAAAATAATATATAAACATAAAATTTAAAATAGTGAGTGCCTTGCTGTGTGAATGGATTTACTACGAATTAAGATTTATAGACACAGAGGCAAAATAATTATTTTGGCGAGGGCAGAAGAAGGCAAATGCGAAAAGAAGAAAGTTAATTCAGAACTAGAGATAATTATTGACAATACACGAAATTAAACTAACAAGAATTTACTTGAAGCTCTGCCACATAGCTTTAGCGAAATAAAAGTTATTCGGTTCTCCTAAACGGTGTAAAAAGCTGCCCTTAATGACTTCTTTTTCATTAATACACTATTATTAAATATCGATAACGCTTAACATGCCATCAACTATAATACATACATCAATAGTCCGATTCTTGCGTTTGCTGTAGCATGATATTTGATTTTAGCTAATAGATGTTACATTTGCGTTACTTATTGACTTCACGTCAATTAGTTAATTAAGAAAGAACAAAAAGATAATTTGATCATTATTATGAATTCTGCGTGTATAAACGGTTAATATTGAATGGTTTAGGAAATCCATGAATTGCTTTTCCTTAGAAAACTACGTTAACATCATTTAGTTTTTGACGTTTCTAGTGGAAAGGAAATGCAGAAAATATATAAATGGGGTCATAAAATTAACGTAAGATATCAATTAAGTAAAACTAAATCACAGTTTTCAGTCACGATAATTGATCATACGGAAAATGACCTCGCCCACTCTGCAAACACTCATTCGTAGAAATTTTCCATTACCATTTCTTCTGATATTGATACACCGTTTAATTTTTCCAGTGGCATGCCGTTTTTTAAACCTCTCCTTGTTCGAAATGCCTATGATGATTTTGTTCGAAAAATGAGAATCCATTTGATATTTAATAATCCGTTCAACGAACTGTCTTATGAATAGTCGTTGTGTTAATTGAATTTTGTGAATATGAAACCACATATATTTTATGTGTTTACGATTTAGAGAGCATACTGATATTTGCAATTCTTGGGCACGATTTGCTGTTGGACGAGGTGTGTTTGGTTTCTCCAACAGATCCACTTTCGCTGAATGTTTCGTTTAATTTCTTCACATTAATGCTCCATTTTTTACCCGTTAATTTTTCAGGGTTGCCAGCAATTTACTGCAAATCTTGGGTTAACTTTGGGTTATCCCTTAGTATATCTCTCTCTGTAATAAATAAACGCTATTTGTATCAAATTTTTTATTATTCCTGTTTTTTTTTATTTCAGTTTGATTTATCCTGCAAAAACACGAAACAAAATTTGGGAGCGATGTTCACCCGTACCAACTATGTTACCTTGAAATACGTCACCGACAATTGGGGAACAGAAAGCAATGGATTCAAACTTGTCATAACTGCAGTGAAAGATCCAAGTAAGTAATAATGCAGTTTATTAGCGAATGCATGTGGGTAGTAAGTCTATCAATAATTAGTGGAGAAATGTGACCAGATAGGCGTAAGCACAATTTAGSACTAATTTATTAAGTAAAATTCGTATATCGACTACATTTTTTCGAGTTGGTTTTTTCTCRACCAATTYCTTTGCAAAAAAATKTATGAGTYAATACTRGCGGTTTAGATATGAGCAAAAACTTTTTCCTRAACTTGAAGACCTGAACAGAAAAACMTGAACGAAACCAAATTTACTTCAGGTTTTACCTATACTACTTATTAAAGCAACTGCGGAATCARCAATATATCTTCTTCACCAAGTAGAGGTACATGCATGTCCTCATAACCTCGAATTGATATGTTTACAAATAAAGATACATGCATGTCCTCATAGCCTCAAATTGATATGTTTACAAATAAAGATACATTAGAGTCTTTAACTGCAAACAARTTAGWGCCTGTGTAAAMGCCTTATTATGCACTCTTCTCGAGCAGCTTCTCCCATTCGGTTAATTAACTCCTGTTTAATTTGTACCAGTGTTCAGTAAGCGATTGGTTTAATGTGTCCTTGTGCTCTGTTTAACTTACATATGTGGAAGAAATGTAGCCCTTACAATGCTCTGAGTGCCATTGGAAGGGTCCAATACTAATTCCTTTGTGCCTGGAACCGGAACATCTATTGTAGTCCACTATCTTCCTGGAGCCAATCTTCAATATCTCTAGCCCTTTGTTGGCATGAGTTCTTAAGTCTTCTGCTATGTTTCTGTGGCCTTTCCCCAGAGCTATTCGCATATTCGCAAATTCGTGAAAGGAGCTTCAAAGTAAGTTGCAGTTTGACAAATTATTGTAATTATTGACAAAGGCTATTCATCTGTAACTATCTGTTAATGTTGTTTTTTTATAAAAAAAAATTCAGAAGAAAACTTTAAGATTTGAAGCAAATATCGTAATTTTTCGTTTTGAATGAAGAAGTATTCCAATATGCTACCAATTTAACATGGAACAATTTCAAAATAATTCGGTGTTATAATTATGATCAAAGCAAACAAAGTCAAATACGGGATCGGGCAAGATAAACACGTAAACAGAACATAAGATGCAAAATATCCTAATTCGTGAAAAATTGTATTAATTTTGGGGTCAAAACTAGCAAAGTAACGAAAACCAGGCGAGGATCAATTCTCGCTTCTCTTCTAAACATGTCAAGTTCTACTTTATGTTTATTTCTGTTTGCGTTTCAATTGTAAACTTTGAATTCAATTTGCGGGAAATAATACAACGTAAAAATATACCCAAAATCAGTGTACCTTCAATTTGTACAAACCGAATAATCATTAAAGTTACATGGGCATGAGCCGAACAGATAAACCTTGAGAGGTTTATAAATATAAGACATTTTTGCATTATCCAAAAAATAATAAGGCTATGTAGCGTATATTATTATTGAAGCAAAATTATCATCAATAAATGTGATTTATTAGAAATGTATGTGAAGAATTTAAAAAATAATATGTAAATAGACATTATTCTTGTAATTATTCAACAACTATGTGCAAAGGCAAGAAAGTGCTCGGGCGACTCTGCTTCGCAACTCCAATTTTTCTCAAAAATTTTTAACAGAAACTTTGTGGATACTATAAACCATTTACAAAGCGTCTTTGCATGTCGACGATAAATATGCTGTACGAGTCGCTTTTCTGTCATTTGTTGTGTGACAATTGCAACTAGTCGTAAAGTCTGAAATGAGTTTCAGCATGGTCATAATAAGCCATCAGCCCGTTAGTTTGGGCAATTAAAATTGAATTACGGGCCCTTGATAATTATAAAGTGTGTAAATCAGTCCCGACAGCCCAAATTGTTGCCTTTCCGAGGCACATACGCCCTCGCGTTTTATGATCCCGGACATGTTGGTGAATTGTGACTGCAAACCATTTCCGAGGC